TTTAATTTCTAAAATCCTATCCATAATTCCAGATGCCGTGAAGCTTGGGGCAAGGTGGAGATTTATCACCTGGGTTGTGGTCTCAGGTAGGCTGGACGCCAGCCTGACTGTCTGGTTCTGGGCCTCGACCTTGAATGAAGGGCTGGCCCGTGTCACGTTCCTGTTTCGGAGCAGTTTGATTGCTGGCAAAGCAGGTCCGTCAGATATTCAGAAACACGCTGTACCGTGTAGTAGACACGTTTGGGATTCCTTCTGAAAGGCCTGATTGCTGACGGTTGGCGGAGGAGATAAGAAATGATTATAATCCTTGCTGTTCTTAAGCCGTCAAATCCAAAATGCCCTCAGGGTGGTGTCTAAAATTAAAGACGTCATACAACCGCTTGGCATGGTTCAGGGCTTGAAAGGACTTGACATAGAATGATCGCGTTACTCAGTTGGGATCTCTGAGGCCATCTAGGTGGACCTGTGGCTTAGTGTAGACTTTATGGTCAGAAGCTATATGGGCCTTCCAGGAAGGGACAGCCCACCGCCTCTGTTCTCCTGGCAAGCAATCTTATGATAGAGACATTTCACTTGACGTTGGCTTTGTACCTTTGACAACGACCACGGAGGTGCAGCCAAGCCCTGTAATTCAGATCAAGCTGAATAGTTGATGATTTGGCAAAAGTGGGTTTGGGGCAAGGGCTGAGGGTTGAACCTGGGGCTTCTGAGTTCGTCCTTTTGCCTACTCCCTTCCTCTCGCCCCCTCCCAAAGCCAGTGAGAGGGACGAGTCCTCTGTTCGTTTAGAGGGGAAGAATTGCGTGACTCTTCTTGACTTAGTTGTTGGGAAGCAGAAGGCTTGCCTTAGCTAACTAGCCAGATCTTTAGTGAGTAGAGTTGGGCTAAGATTGGGGAGTCCCAAGTCCAGATCCCCCCTTGGCTGCAGCGGCGAAGAAGGAAAGGCCACCTAGAAGGAAGAGCTGAATCAATCTCCCACTAACGACGCCACCCCCCTCCCCACCCCTCCAGCTTGACATTGGGTGGGTGATGCTTTTCCACTCCATTCCCCCTCACTCCTTTCTCTCCCCTGCTTCGTGAAGGTTCAGCGATGGCAACCATGCTGTACCCGCGTGAGGAGAAGCTGGAGAAGATGAGCCAGGACGAGATCGTGCTCGGTACCAAGGCGGTGGTGCAAGGCTTGGAGACGCTGCGCAGCGAACACCATTCCCTGTTGGCCACCCTGCTGGACACCGTCAGCCGCCTGGAGCAGCAACACGAAACCAGTGCTGCCCAGGAGAAGGCAGTTCTCCTGAGGAAATCTCTGGAGGCCATCGAGCTGGGCCTCGGGGAGGCCCAGGTAACTTCAGCTGTGGAGGCTGAGAGCTGACATGGAGGACAATTCAGGCACCTGCCTCGTATCAGCTCATTCCATGTTGCGGCTTCCGATTCCCGTAGGAGGGTTGGGGCTGCATGTGACTCTTGAAGAGCACAAAGGAGTCTCAGCATTACGTCTCCCTACCCCTGCGCTGAAAAGTGGGGTGGGGGGAGAGGGGGGCGTGCAAATGTGTGAGTGCATGGCTATACTTGTGTATGGTCAGGCTCCAACTGCACAAGCTGTTCTCCCCAAGCAAAATTCTTGCAGAGTCTTCTTTAACGAGATTTGTTGATCTCCCTTTGTCGCTGGTCCCAGGTGATCATCGCCCTCTCCAGCCACCTGAGCGCTGTGGAATCGGAGAAGCAGAAGCTGCGGGCTCAGGTGCGCCGCCTGGTGCAAGAAAACCAGTGGCTGCGGGATGAGCTGGCCGCAACCCAACAGAAGCTGCAGAGGAGCGAGCAGTCGGTGGCACAGCTGGAAGAGGAGAAGAAACACCTGGAGTTCATGAATCAGATTAAAAAATTTGACGAGGATGTCTCCCCGTCAGTAGGTGGCTTTCTCCTGATTCTCCCCCACCTTTTGGCCTTCCTGTTTAGAGAAGGTGGCTTCCTTCTGCTCTGTTAGGTGAGCCTTGAACCCGGGTCCAGAGGCCAAAGCTTTGGGGTTCCGATGGGAATAAGGAGACCCGCCTTCCCCTGTCCCCATGAAGGTCAATTCCGGTTTTGATTGCTTCCTTTTTCCCCAGGATGAGAAAAGCGGGGACGCAGCAAAAGATACATTGGATGATCTCTTCCCTAACGATGACGACCAGGGTCAAGGTGAGCTTGTAACGTTCCCTGGATTCAAACTGGTCTTGGCCAGCCCCGGCTGCTCTTCCCCTCCACGAGCAGCCTGTAATTCCTGGATCAGTTCCTTCCAGCCGTTTCAAGCTGAAGAAATTCAGCTGAAATGAAGAACGTGGTGTCCCCAGTTGCGGAGGCATGTGCAAAACACATTGCAGTGCATGAAAAACTGAATTATTTTTGTCACATGGAAACACCGTTCTCATGATCAGCCCGGGTTCACAATAACCTGAAAGATGATGCTGATGACCATCCAGGTTTTTAATCAGTAGCGAGCTCTCTCCGGTTGCAAAGCCCCAAACTCCTGTGGCTGTAAGTTCCATGGAAAAATAGCATGTCCTCAAACTACAGTTCCCAGCATCCCTCAGTAACGGCCAGGCGGCTAAGCATAGAGCAGGTCAGCTGCTTCTGGAGGACTAAAAATTCTATTTCTTTAATTCCCTGTTCATCGTGAGCCTAGTGCCTCAAAAGCGATGCTTCTAAGGGTTGCTTCTTCATACCGTCGTATGTATGGGGAATCCGCTCGTGGGCTCTTTACAGCTGATTGGGCAGCTATTGTCAGGTTCAGCCCAAAGAACTCCACGAGACAGTATAGATTTAGATCTATAGCATTTATTAGCTTCCACCTACAAGACAGAATCTCGCCAGACTGAATCTAAACTCCCCAAGCCAGCAAGCAAACACTGTGAATTCCTTAGGGTGGTGCCAGCCTCATCCTCTTCACCTTCCCACGCTCCTTCTGGGGGCTAAGGAAATGCTTATCTCCCTGAGCGCGGCCTTCGCCATACCATTCCATCACATCTATGTCTCTGCAGGACAGGCTCACCCCAGCGGGGAGTCAGCGGCCCAGCAGGGCGGCTACGAGATCCCGGCCCGTCTGCGGACGTTGCACAATCTGGTGATCCAGTACGCTTCCCAGGGGCGCTACGAAGTGGCCGTCCCGCTCTGCAAGCAGGCTCTGGAGGATCTTGAGAAAACTTCGGGCCATGATCACCCAGATGTGGCAACAATGCTGAATATTCTTGCGCTGGTGTACAGGTGTGGAGCTCAACAGGAGGGCGCGGGGTGGGGGGGACTGAATGGCCTTGATTTTACTTTAACCGATAACTATGGAGGTAGAAGAAATCAATGTGGCTATCCTGTGCAATGCTCCAGTCATTGGTTGCCAGTTCGAATGCATCCCTACGCTGAAACAAAAGCAAGGCAGGGAATGCCTTGCATGTGGAAACCTAGCTGATCAAGCAGATCTTTTCCCATTTAGTGTCGGTTTTAAGACAGCATTCAGATTTGGGTGGAATAATTCTCCCCAGTGGTCTGACAAGGGCACGCTCTGTACTGTTTCCCTTCTGAAATACTTGAATGTAAGAGATTAATATGTTTTCCTCCCTACCAGGGACCAAAATAAATATAAGGAAGCCGCCCACCTTCTCAATGACGCTTTAGCTATCCGGGAGAAGACGCTGGGGAAAGACCATCCGGCCGTAAGTGTAGGCTGGGTTCTTCCCTCTTGGCTCCGACTATAATGCCCAATTTATTCACTTTATAAATTACACGGTGTTGTCGTTAGACCAATTCCTCCAGCAAAGGCAAAAACAGCTGTGATTTTTATCTCCCTTTTACATGACACGTGCAAATCCACCCAGCCTTTCCCCACCCCCCTCAAAAAATAAAATAAAATTCAGGTGGGAAAGGCGAAGGCTTTTGGTTTGAAATTTTCCTGCAGGGGGAAGGCCCAGGTCTGCTGCATTTCCTGCGTCCTCTTGTTTGAAAGCAGCTTTCAGGTTTTTACACCAGCCTTTTTTCATTCTTAGGTGGCCGCTACGCTCAACAATCTGGCTGTCCTGTATGGGAAACGTGGAAAATATAAAGAGGCCGAACCTTTGTGCAAGAGAGCCCTGGAGATTCGCGAGAAGGTATTGACAAAGGGGCCCTTCTGGCTGCAGCAGTTTTGGGGAGGTTAACAAAACGAATTAAAAAGTTTTAACCAGAGGCTGGCATGCGGTAGAACCAAGCCCCAGTTCCCAGCCTCGTTTTTTATTTTCAAGAATGCTTCAGGATCCCAGCTAAATCCAGAAGCAGTTTTAGAAAATAAAAAAAGGAGAACGCGGCAGCCCGGGAGTTTGGAAAGAGGTTCAACAGGCCTCAGTCGAAAGCAAAGGTAAACTGGAGGAGCAGATTGGAAGGCTTTTTCCCACTTGGGGTGCTTTGAGGCACCCAATTTGTGAACAGAAAACCTCTTTCCCCCCAAAAGCCATTTTACAGCCCGTGAAGTCAGGTGATCTAGCTTGATTCCCAGGAAATTTAAAAAACAAATCCAAGCATGGGGCAGAACATTTTTTTTAAACAGCACTTTTTATTGCTTGCTGCCCATAAAACAGGTCAAAACCAGCAGGCTCTGCTCTCAAAAGAGTAGATGGCGATTGCCAGCAGAAAACAAGCCGGCTGGCCTGTTTTTTGCTGGCAAGCAAGGAACAAGATGTGCTTTTGTGGCATCTCGGCAGCGATGTCGCTACACGAGCCCCGCCCTGCAACGGCGTCCCGGCACAGGCATGTAAAGGAGGGGCTTGTGCAGTGATGTCACTGGGGGCGGGGCTTGTCACATCTGCTCGGCTGCAGGCACCCCTGCTTGCAGCCCACAGTGAGGCTGTATTAGGCGGCTCCTTCTTAAATAGCCAAGATCCTTGGCCAGAACAATTTTCGGTGGTACAAGGGACAGACTTGGGGTGTGTCCGTCTCTGAAACGCCTGAGCGCTCCTGTCTCTCTTTCTCCATCCAGGTTTTAGGAAAGTACCACCCAGATGTAGCCAAGCAGCTGAACAATTTGGCCCTCCTTTGCCAAAACCAGGGGAAGTACGAGGAAGTCCAGTACTACTACCAGCGGGCCCTAGAGATCTACGAGTCTCGCCTGGGATCTGACAGTCCAAATGTAGCCAAGACGAAGAACAACCTGGTGAGTGGGGCTTAGAGACTCAGAGACGCCAAAGCAGCAGGAAAGGCGTAGAATTGCTAAATGGATCAGCGCCTCCAGCCAGCAGCGTTCTTGCCGTCCCTCTCTGCTACCAGAAGGAGAGAGAAAGAGAGGAGAACCTGTTTTTTCTTCAGCTTGATCAGCGCCTCGACTTTGGAATGACATTTTCACTTCCTTTTGGCAACGTTTCCATCTGCCCAGCAAGTTCCCCCTTAAACGTTGCCAAGAATCATGGGTGAAGCAATGGCATTCACGTTTATAGGGCAAAAGGCATAGCCTGCAAGAAAAGGGGAAGGTTTTTGCCAAATTGGGATGGGGGTGAGGTAGTCGGGACACACCACTGCTTAAAAATACAGGTTTTACTCTGAGGAGCTGGGTGCAAATTCTTCAGAGTTAGGGTTAGTGACGGAACAGATGCTTTGGGGGAGAATAGTTTCATAAAAATGGTGGCGTTGTTTTGCTGCCTTGTGTGATCCTCTATGCTTTTTTTTTTTTCCTCCTCCCTCCCAGGCCCTTTCTCCTCTTCTGACATGTCCTTTAGATTGTCAACGCGCAGGTGGCAAATTTAGTAGGGGCACTTGGGGGAGAGGCAGTTTGGGGAGCCAAAAATGGTAGACCGACAAATATAGTTTCAAGAAATAGGCCTCACTTTGGCCCGTTCCTCTTACCTCTGGATTTGTATCCTCACAGGCCTCCTGTTACATCAAACAAGGTAAATACAAGGAAGCAGAGGCTCTCTACAAGGAGATCCTGACCCAGGCACATGAGAGGGAATTCGGATCAGTCAATGGTGAGCGTGGGAAGAGGCATTTCTCACCAGCTGGGGGGAGCTTCAGACAGAACCTGGCAAGGGGCTTCTTAGAAATCTGGAAAAATAGCTAGGAGGTGTGTGTGCAAGGGTGTGTGTGTGTGTGTTGGGGGCTGGCTGGCTCTGATGCAGAACTCTCCAGTCTAGGAGGCCATGCCAAGATTTTGATGGACTATGAGCCATCAATCACGTTTGACTCCTAGTGACCACACAGTTAGATTTTTCTCTACGATCATCTTTCGCTAACGTAGTCTTTCGGGTCTTCCAAGAGCAAAAGTCCTGCACAATTGTGCCTTTTTGTAAAGCGCGGGAGGAAGCGGCTCGCTCCGTTTCATGAATCTTCTTTTGCTAACTTTTCTACTTTGGAAAATGACAGTCCTCTCCCCACTACCTGTTCACAGCCTTTCTATAGCAAAGACCTTTCACAACAATGCAGAAGATGGGCTGGCTTAAAAAAGAAAGAACCCTGGATTTTTTCTATTTTAGCTATGGAGGGAGATTTGTGGAATTTTAACTCTGGAAGGGTCTCTCTCCTGCATTTCCCTTATCCCCCTCCTGCAAGAGTCTGGGATTCCCTCTGTCTTACAGGGCAACGTAATTGTGCGTATCCCCAACTTGGGTTAAGCAGACCTGGGTTGGAATGCCTGATGCCATTGCTCTGACAGCTGCAGGGCTGGGTTGAAAATTCCTTGTTTCCAGGGAGAATGAATCACACGAGGATGTCCCCACCCCCTTTGTTTTCCTTAGTCGTTTTCCTGTCTTAGGTGTGTGAATCTGGAATCTTTGATGACGCAAAGGGAAATGTTGCACAACCCTAACCTAAGCCAGCCGCAGAGTTCACGGCCCAGTTCAGCTTCGCAGCCAGGTTCATGCAGCGGGCCAAGCCGCCCTCTGCTTGCATGGCTTTGAGCTTGGCGTCTTGGGTGAAGCTGGCCGCTACCAGTCAAAAAACCAGGCTTTCTGATTTACGGTGACGTGCAAATCTAGCCGAAGGTGGTTCAGTCAATCAGTCATCACTTAGTGGGATGTGAGAACCCAGGCTGTATGAGTCCTGTTTGTGAGATGGGCGGCTATATAAACTTGATAAATAAATTTATTAACTCATTTACTTAGCTCTGAGCGATGTACATACCTGACATTCGTAAACCAGGTTAAAAATGAACAGCGTGACAGTAAAACAGGTTAAAATTCAACCAGCACCCAATGATAAAGACAGAACAGTTCAACCCAGTGTTTCTCAACCTTGGGGAGTTTAAGATGGATGGACTTCAACATGGCTGGCTGGGGAATTCTGGGAGTTGAAATCCACCCATCTTAAACTCCCCAAGGTTGAGAAAGGGTTCAACCTATCGCAGCGCTTGGCACCTCGAGTTTTCCAAACGGTTTTATTTCTTCCCTTCTATGCAGGTGACAATAAGCCGATATGGATGCACGCCGAAGAACGCGAAGAATGTAAGGTATTTCTGGGTTTGGCTGGGAAAGAGGAATTCAAAGCAGGGTTCCTTTGCCCAGAATTTTAGGACAGAATCCAAACCTTCTCTTTAATATTTTTTACCTCGTTTTCCCATTCAGGACAAATACCGAGAAAACAGCGCACCCTACAGAGAATATGGAAGCTGGTATAAAGCTTGTAAAGTTGATAGGTAAGAAGCCATCAGTGGGAGACACTGACCCTTCAGGTTGATGGAAGAGAATTTGCTCTCGCCCTTTTGTTCCGAGGGTAAGGGAATCGGGGTGGGGTGCGGCGTTCCCGCATTTACGTAGAGAAGAAGACATTGTAGGAGGGGCGCTGGTTAGGAGGGCCAGAAAACAGGAAGCGTCTGGTGGCGCCTTTTCCGACGAACACGTTTTTATGAAAAGGTGGACGCTGTTGTGAAACTGTAGCTCGCTCCATCAGATGGGCAGAGTGTCAAAACTGAGGTCGGATTTAAAGGGGGTGAGGGTGGAAACGAGGGGAAGATAGGTTGGAGAGAGGCAGGTTACCCGTGCGACAGATTACCAGTACCTTTTCAGTTAACAATTGCAATGTGTTAAAAACCCATTGTGTTGGAGGAGGCCCTTTGAGATTGCCTGAAATCTTTACGTATGTATGTATAATTTTCATTTGTTAAGTAAAAGCAGGAAAAACAACACAAAGAGAAAAGGGGAAAGAATAGAATACATATAATTAAATTTTTTTTTAAGGGCCTCCAAGTTGTTGTCGGCTCTCCTTGACCACATAGATTTCCTTCATGAGTCTAATTACAAAAATGAGTATAATAATATAATATAACAATATAATTACCTCTACGGCAATATGATCCCTCTGTCATCCGTGCTGTTATTTACCTTTTTAAAAAAATTTAACCCCGTTCCTGCCATCGCATACGCAGCGGTGCGACCGAGGCGAGGGTTGCAGTGAGAATTCGAAAGGAGAAATTTAAGGGAGGGATTAAAAAATGAAATCAAAATTAAAAACAGGGAAAAAAAATGTTGGCTTCTGATGTTGATGTCGACAGCAAGTAAGGAAAGGACCTTCTGGGGCAGCCCTGAGGGTTTGGATCTTGAGAAAGGCCCCCCAAAATACAGGAAGGTGATCTCCTGGTCCCCAGCTGTGTTTTTCACCCCCAGCCTCACCGTCAACGCGACCCTAAAGAGCTTGGGGGCTCTGTACCGGCGCCAGGGCAAGGTGGAGGCAGCTGAAACGCTGGAAGAGTGCGCGCAGAAGTCCCGCAAACAGGCAAGTGCCGGGCCGTTCTTTCCATAGGATGAAAATATAAGGGTGTGCTTATGGCGTGCCTGATCGCCCATACTGAGCGAGAATCGCCACAGGTGACCAGGCGAAAGGCGAACGGAACAGAGTCGAAGGGGCTTTTCTGCCGTGGGTGAACTTTGCTCCGTGCCCTCTCTCTTATGGGGAAAAACCTTTCTTCTTCTTCTCTCATCAAAACGAAAGCAGGATCCCTTTCACCCACGACTTTTAGCATGACTGCCTTTCCTGAAATCCTTTTGCGCCTCTCCTTTTATTTTCCACCTCTTGGAAGTAACGTGACTGGGTGGAACGTGGAAAGACACCAAAGAGCTGAAACAAAGAACGGAATTAAACAATATATTAAATTCCTTCAAATGGGCGGTCAGCTGGTTCCCTCGATATTATAACACGCGCGTAGTTTGCCAGTCCTTGCGTTTGCTGGCTGAACACTTATATTCCTAAACCTGTCTTGTCGACAGATGGAGGACTTTCTACTGCAGCTAAATAAAAATCCACAGCTTCCAGATCCCCCCTTCCCAGTTCCTCCCTCCCTCTGGAATATGAACCAGGAGGAGATTCCCTCTGCGTTACCGTGTTTTGAACCATCGTGGGCTTTGTGCACACACATACACACGCATGCTTACGCCCATATTCATCATACATGGATTAATCGTTCTACCCTCGGCTCCCTCCTTCTCTCCCTCTGCCTTCCCCAGGGCATGGATGCCATCAACCAGAGCAAAATTGTGGAGCTCCTGAAGGACGGAAACCGCTCCGAACAGCGACCGAACCGCAACAGAACTCCCGGTGCCAAGAAGTGTGAAAATGGGACTGAATCAGAAGAGGGAGCAGCCGAGTGGTCTGGGGTGAGAGAGCAACCGTAATCTGGGGAGTCTGCTTCTGAAGCAAAGAGGGAAGAAGTTAGCCAAACCAGAGTTATTCCAGAACTCACTAAGCCCTAAACTAGGGTTAAGTCCCAAACCATTCAAACCACATTACAGCTTAGCATGAAGGATACTCAAAGAGCTGTTGCTCCCTCAAAGCCCCTTCCTGGGCGTGCAGAAGATTAACGGCTTAATCTGGAAAGGCACCTTGTCTTGCCCCCCATCTCCCAACTGGGGACTCCCCAAATCCTGTGCCATCTGGCTGGGAATTTTGGAAGCAGTGGTCTCAATGCAGCTGAAGGACAGCGCTGCAATTTTGCTGTGGCCTGGCTGTGCTGAGGACCACTTCCTTGTAGCCTTAACTATGGAGGCACCCTGTCGCCTCTTCTCTTCTCTTCTCTTCTCTTCTCTTCTCTTCTCTTCTCTTCTCTTCTCTTCTCTTCTCTTCTCTTCTCTTCTCTTCTCTTCTCTTCTCTTCTCTTCTCTTCTCTTCTCTTCTCTTCTCTTCTCTTCTCTTCTCTTCTCTTCTCTTCTCTTCTCTTCTCTTCTCTTCTCTTCTCTTCTCTTCTCTTCTCTTCTCTTCTCTTCTCTTCTCTTCTCTTCTCTTCTCTTCTCTTCTCTTCTCTTCTCTTCTCTTCTCTTCTCTTCTCTTCTCTTCTCTTCTCTTCTCTTCTCTTCTCTTCTCTTCTCTTCTCTTCTCTTCTCTTCTCTTCTCTTCTCTTCTCTTCTCTTCTCTTCTCTTCTCTTCTCTTCTCTTCCCTTCCCTTCCCTTCCCCCTTGAATACAATAGAATAGAATAGAATAGAATAGAATAGAATAGAATAGAATAGCTTTATTGTCATTACACTATACACCAAGTGCATAATAAAATGAAATTCCGTTGCAGTTGGCTTACAATCATACATTAAAATACAACTGAGATACCTAAGTTACTATAAAATATACATTCTATACATTTGATATTAAACATTCAGACA